TAGAATATCAGGCTACAAACTGAATTTGTTGGTCCAGCCACTGTAGGCCATATGTTCTGGCACTGCCAAACTTTGAGCAGTTTTTTGGGAAAGTATTTTTGAGGTCCTGTCATGCTTGTGTAGAAAAACGATACTACCATCCCCACTCATCTCAATCTCTCCATGCTGCAGTTGGAAAAATTGAGATATAGTCCGACTGTCAAGAAAATTTTTGTGACCTGGTCGCCCTTCATTGAATATGTTAAAAACCTGACCCCATCATAAATATCATAGCCATGACAATCACATTTTTTATTTTTTTGTATATAATGTATATAATGTCCCATTTACTAACTGACACTGAGCAAAGGAGAGAGGCCCCCCCCTTTTTTTTGTTTATGTATTTATTCATTAGTTTTAATTGTTCCATACGCAGATATATTTATTCAGTTTACTAATGTGTGCTTGGCTGTATGTCCACATATTACCCAGTTTTTTTTTCCCCCCCCTCTTCGTTACTTGTGGGTGGGTGGGTGTGGGGAATGTGGTTTTTTTTTTCTGCCGTTTTCTATGCAAATGGAAAAACTAAAAATAAAGCATTGGAAACAAGGCAGTGCAGATGTGTTGGATTCACAGTGCAAATGTAGAAAGCAGCCATTTTTACAGTCTATGTTGTACGTATGTAAGCAAAGTAAAAAGTAAAGTGGCTAGTGATGCATATGGGTGTAGTAAAGTGGCTAGTAATGCATATGGGTGTAGTAAAGTGGCTAGTGCTGCATATGGGTGTAGTAAAGTGGCTAGTGCTGCATATGGGTGTAGTAAAGTGGCTAGTGCTGCATATGGGTGTAGTAAAGTGGCTAGTGCTGCTGTATGGGGGCAGTGGGGATAGGGGGGAGAGAGGAGAAAGTGTCCAGCCTCCTGACAGCTTGGTGGATGAAACTATTTCTCAGTTGCGGAGGCTCTGGTGCCTTCTCCCGGATGGCAGGAGACTGAAAAGGCTGTAAGAGGGGTGGGTGGGGTCTCCAACAATGCTGACTGCTTTGCAGGTTAACCGGGTGTTGTAGATGTCCAGGAGGGAGGGGAGTGGGGCTCCGATGATCTTTCCTGCCGCGTTCAATGTGCTGCAGGGTTTTTCAATTGTTGGCAGTGCAGCTTCCAAACCACACAGTGATGTAGTGTGTCAGGATACTTTCAATGGTACGTCAATATAAGGAGGCCATGATCGGTACCAAGGCACTAGATCTCTTCAGTTTGCAGAGTCAGTAGAGATGTTGTTGAATTTGGTGCTGCTCACCCTTTCCACAGTAGTACCATTTATGGTCAGCAGGGGCTGTTGGCTGTGCAATCCCCTGAAGTCAATGATGACCATGTTTAAGAGAACATTGTTGTTGCTGAACCACATGGCCAGTTGGTTCACCTCATTCTTTGAGTTTGTCTTATCGTTGTTGTTGATGAGACCCACACTTGTGGTGTCGTCCGCAAACTTGAAGAAGAGGTTGGTGCTGTGGTTTGGTGTGCAGTCATGGGTCAGCAAGGTGAAGCGCAGGGGACTGAGCACAAATCCTTGGGGTGCCCGCATACCCAGTGTGATGATGCCAGATGTATGGGTTATAATAAGCTGATATCATTGTCCAAAGTAAACGAGGCGGCATTCATTTCACTGGGGAAGGAGTAGAAACTGCAGCAAGAAAAACTGGAATCTGAGTTTCTTTTGAATACCTTCAGTTCGTAAAAATCAAGGCAAAGAAACCGAAGAATTACCGGAAAGGCGAAGGAAAGCTTGGCTAAAAGTAGGAAATTTGAATCGTGATATTTTGCTTAGAATTGAGATCATGATTCTCTGTAATGATTTTTTTCTTAAATTTAAACATTTATTGCACTCATTAAACTGCAAAAAGGAAAACATGACTTGTGCCAAACATATGATTGATCCAGGGCCGGCATGTGAACTTCTGACAAGAGAAAGGAAATGCTCGATTGGCCATTCAATTAGGGTAACCAAAACAGCCATATCAAAAGTTTCAGTACCAAAAGTATCCATGGGATACTTTTTTAGTACTTCAGTACTTTGGGAGTGGGACTTGAAATGCTTTCTTTGTCGAATGGTTATGCCAATAGCCTGCCTCTGAAACACAATATAACTCAGAAAATGATGAACAAGGTTAAAAAAAGAAAACAACAATAATAATAGATGTGTGGACAAATGAAGTGACCTAAGCTTTAACTGCCATCTGGTCGGAAGAATCAGTGATCACGATAGCATAAAAAGAAATAAAGTATTTTGTATAATATACTAAGACATTACGGTATTGGAAAATTTATAAGTACAAGTGCAGCGTGATTTTGTTGTAATAAATATTGAGGTATTTAGAAAACAAAAAAGGAGCTCAACATAAATTTCTCCAAAACCTGTCTAGCTGACTGGTGAAGTAAGCATTTCATGTTCACAACATGCGATGTTGGTATTAATATCGCATTTCGCCCAGCCCTGTAATATACAGTAGGGATGCAACGATTATTCGACATTGTTGACAAAAATCGACAATAAAAATAGTTTATGTTTGGAAGTCAGTGGTGTGTCATGGTGTCTCATTCGCTAATACCTAAAAAAGGCAAGAGGGTCTAGCTACAGACGCCTGTAGAGTGGAGCTCCACCGGAAATACGTCACCTCCACAGGAAACACGTGATCTTTAAGGACGTAAAGTGGAGCTCCGGTTAGGGTTAGGATTAAGGTTAAGGTTAGGGTTTATTCGCTGTGACACAGAGTTGAGGCCACGTGTTTCCTGTGGAGGTGACGTATTTCCGGTGGATCTCCACTCTACAGGCGTCTGCAGCTGGACCCTTCTCAAAAAAGGTCGGAAAACAGTGGAGAAAACCCATTTGCTTAAATAGACAAAGAAGCCAAAACTCCGAAGCTCAAGATTCAGGACAGTGGCCCCGATGTCGCAAGTGCTGCGAGAGCTTATGCTCCATTAAAAATAAATAACAGCAGTTTTGAAGTCTGTTTTCTTGCTGTTAACAGAGGAATGGCAATGGGAAGCTGCTCTAAATTTCCCACATTTTGGGTCGGGATCTTGGGATTTTTCAGCCTGCTTTAAAATGAATTTTTATTTGTAAACATAGGCTATATAAATAGCTGATATGACAAGAAATTACCGTGCATTTTAACCTCTATACCGCAAATGAAGTACGAATTAGCATATACAGGTTAAAATGCATGATAATTTCTTGTCATATAAGCGGAAATGCACATAAAATACGTACGCATTTGCACTGTCACAGCAATTGATTCCCGCACGTATCGCTTTTAAAGGTGAATGCGTACTTGCGTACCAGTTACATGCAGCTCTGATTATAACAAAGATTGTATCAGAAATTCAGATCAATATAAACGCCAATCCAGACCTATTTGACGGATCGGGTATCGGCCATGTGTGACCAGTCCACGTCCTATACTTACTTATTTAGTTTTTGGCAATCTCTAAAAAGATAGCTCCTATTTCGTATTAAATCTATTTGAACATTCAATCGCACGACAGCTCTTTCCCATTTTACATGTTTTTTTTTGCGGCATTCAAGTCGAACAATAACCTCATGCTAAATGTAAAAGCTGGTAGCTAAATATGAGCCATTTTATAATTATACAATTTATAATCTGATGTTGACTAATCGTTTTAATAGTCGATGACTAGTCGACTATCAAAATAGTTGTTAGTTGCAGCCGTAATATAGGCCTACAGCCATTTTTCAAATTCAGTACAAAATACCCTGCCTCGTGTTATGATGTCATTCAGTGCCGGTACCACTTGTTACGGCTGTCGAAAACCACCTTGAAGTACTGTAATTTTGGTACTTTCTTGAACCTGGTACCTGGTGTGATGGAAAAGGGCCCTTTAAAGAGAGTGCAGAATTATGGGATGCTTGAGACTCTCGGGAAAAGTTGGAGTGCTTGTTTTGATCCAGCTAATGTAAAACAATTTAGACGAACCATTGTAATTTAGAAATCCATCTGGATGGGCTGTCTGTTGCTTATAGATGGCATGATACAATTCACAGAGTGCCTCATTTTTGTCACTGTCGTTGCTGGACGGAATGTAAACCGTGACCAGCAAGATAGTAGATAAAAATCTGGTAGATAAAACGGTTGGCACTTAATCATAAACTCTGCCAAGGGTGAACAATGTTTACGGACCACCCCAGCATCACGACACCAAGTGTTGCTGATATAAACGCAGACACCGACCACCACAAGTCTTATCTCCCAGACCCAGGGCTCTGTCCCCTTGGTAGCATGTTAGCCGATCGAGTTGAATAGCATCGTCCGGGATGTTGTCATTAAGCCGTGTTTCCGTAAATACAAAAATGCAGCATTCTCTCATGTTATACTGGGTAGTCCTTAAAAGATATATAAGATCCATTTTGTTGTCCAGAGAATGCACACTGGTGAGTAGAATGGATGGGATGGCTGGACTGTATGGGTTAGCTATGTACCTCCACATTTACCTCTCTTCTGCTTCCTCTCCCACCAATTGTGGTGCCTCCTTTCTGGATCGGCAGCAGCAGTTGAGGTTGGTGATGCGGCAAGCTTGCAAAGTAATCCTTGCCCATGGGCTTATTCTGCTTGAGTGGGATCTAAGTTGAAAAATGCCATACTGTTGATGTTTAGGAGCAGCTGATGACTGTAGGTTTACCACAAACTCAATCATTCACACAAAGACAGACATGTAAACACTGTACTGTCGGGACAGAGAGAAGCTGTTGCATCTGTACACACCGCCATCTTGGGAAAGGAGTTGGGATGTTGGGAAATGTGCCCTCTTGGCATGATTGGGCATGAGGATTTGCAGAGGCTCTCATGTGATTCAGTGGTGTGTATTTAGATGTAGATGTCATGGGAAACCCTTCCTTCTGATATCATCTTGCTACTGCAGGTGTACCGATGTTGCTTGGTTAAAGACTTTAGAAAATGTGAAAGGCTCTGTCCATGACCGCTGTAACATTCAGTTTCCCATCCTCCCAGGTAGGAGGAAGAATCCCAGGCTCAAGATTTCCAAGGAGGTGTTTGATCAGCCCCCGTTAGCAGCGTCGTAAGGAAAACTCTCATCTGTTTTGGGCAGACAGGTCATGCACAGCTTGCAAACACTGTCGTAAAACACAATACAGAGATGCACGTTTTCCACCATACATGTTTATGAAATAGAAACAGGGTTTCGGATTTCCTCCCGGATGGAGTGCTATTGTCCTCCAGAATAATGGTCTGTGAAGCAGCTGGATATATGGCTTCTCAGCCATTGCAGTAGATGAGAATAACCCCCATAAAAAATGTTCCATGTGAATTTTAGAAAGGTGACATAACCCATCTAATCTTTCTCCATCTTACTAAGACCTCCACGAGACCTGGACTCTAAAGCCTGTGTCACTATTGGGGACAAGGTACGAGCTGGGAATGGTGGGCTATGTGTTTGTATAATTAATATATATATATATATATATATATATATATATAAAATTAGGCATGTAACGATGAATCGCAAACCGGTTAAAAATCGATGTGAATGTATGACGATTTAAACCAGCTGATGTGGAAAATGAATCGCTACTTTAGGAATACTTCACGGTACTTTACATAACAGCAAAATTGGTGTAATATTACGTTTGATTTCACAACGTGAATTTGATGTCAGATGTCACTGTGTATTCACGTCGACGTCGTATGTTAGTTTTTGGTTTTGACCGAATGCGAGATGGCGAGCGAATTTAAAATTGAGGACACACCCCCCGATTTTAAATTGGCGGTGTGGCAGCATTTTAGCTTTCCTGTAATCACAAATGAAAACAGTGAGAAAAGCACAGATGACAAAAACTGCGTGCAAACATTGTAAAACACTGATAACATACACAAATAGCACAACGAACAGCATGTCCACCGGCACCACAGTGAGCTCAATTCACCACCGCCAGAGCAAAGATTATTAAAAGGGCAAACCACGCTAAAAAGCTGCACATGCAAGAGTTAATTTATTTGGTAATGCTTTATGTTAAGTGCACCTTCATAATGAATTAATTATGCATTTATAGAACATTCAGTGCACCTTCATAATGCATTAAAAGAACATTCATAAGCAACATGTAAGTACACTTTAACATCCCTTTACAGCTTTAATATGCATTAATAACAAACATCACATGATTATACAATTATAGTGCTTGTTATTATATAATGTTTGTTATTAATGTATATTACAGCTGTTAAGGGGTGTTATTATGTAAAGGTATACATGCATGATGTTTATGAATGATTTCTGAATACTTAATGAATACATTATGAAGGTGTACTGAACGTTTTATGAATGCAATATAAAAGCATTATGAAGGTGCAGTTAATGTAAAGTGTTACTGTTTATTTTTTTAAAAACAGTATTTTATTCAATTTCAGTTGCACTGTTAAGAAGAGGTGTCACGCCTGGCTCGTCCGATTCTTCTGTGTGCCACGCCCCCTTGTTAACCTCGTGTGGAATCTCTACATTTACCAGCTGCTCTTTGTTTCCTGCCATTAGTCCTGTGTATTTCAGTCTTGCGTTTGAGTATGTTTCCCCAGTCCAGTCATTGACGTTACGTTTTTCCTATGCCCTTGAAAGGATTAATTCCTAGTAAACCCCTGTATTCCCTGATTCTCCGTCTCCCCGCTCCTGCTTCCCTGGTCCGAGTTGTAACAGAGGACACATTTTGCACAGTTTAGAAAGATAAAGGAATATTTTTGGATACATTTGTCTGCAGCTCATTCTGTCAAAAATTCTTGAGAAAAAAAAAACTCAGAATCGTGAATCATATCGAATCGTTAGTTGAGTGTATCGTTACATCCCTAATATATATATGTGTGTGTGTATATATATGTATATATGTGTGTGTGTGTGTGTGTGTGTGTGTGTCGGCAGAGTGTTAGGAGGCAGTTCTAGAAGTAAGTCAGTGGAGCATTTCAGGAATATAGAAGAAGGCAAAGGGAGAGAGAAACACACAGAATAAACAACAAGGGGGCTGGTTGGGTGGGGGGCATATATACACACACACACACACACACACACACACACACAGACACAGGGATACCTTGGAACAGGAACATAATTCGTTCCAGAAGGCTGGTTGAGTTGCAATTTGGTTGAGGTCCAAGTCGCATTTCCCCATAAGAAATAATGTAAATGAATTTAATCCGTTCCAGACCCCCAAATGCTTGCCTGTTTAAACTTATCTACCTACCTGACTAATGGAAAAAAACATTGACAATCAGTATAGAACTAAAACACAGATGAAAATTACACATACGAAAGCAATAAACATTAAATAAATGACAATCCCATACTCCGAAGCGAGAGCAGACACACATTCACCCCCTTTCTATAATTTCCTTTTTAAGTTCTACAGTTACTCTCACTATTTTCCTCTTTGGTTTGCTGCTATCACTGCTTACTTTCTTAGGGGCCATGATTACTGTATCACTAAATGTACTATACATAAAACCCCAAAAAATTCACAACAAACACAGCCTATATATTACTGCTGTGTCGATAAAATCGATTCTCTGATTCTTAATCGATTCTCATAATAATTCCTAAAGATCGATTCGTATGTCCAAAGATCGATTTTACCCTTTAACATTTTCTGCCCTTTTTACAGCTAAAATAGGAAAAAAAATCCAGACGGGCATTTTGAGGCTTAGGTGTCAAAGGGTTAATACAGTTTTCCCTGGTGATCTTTAACATCACCTACTGTCGCGTCATTGAATTCACGATGTGCGTGATTAAAGATATTAGTAGGCAACGCCTTTCTATTTTCTATTTACAGTTCAAGTTTAAAATCTTTAACTATCAATACTTAATTAATTTGTTTTTCAATGTCAATATAATACTAGTATTACTATGTTGCACAACTACACAGTCATATAATTAAGGTAACAGCTTTTTTGTTTTAAAAACACTGACCCAAATCGATATCAGATCAGAACAGATTGGATTGAATCGTGATAATAGATTCTAAATCTTGAGAATTGGAATCGAATCGATTCTTGAAATTCAAATCAATACCCAGCACTACTATATATATATATATATATATATATATATATATATATATATATATATATATATATATATATATATATATATAAGGGGTGTGCAAAGCAGCCGGTATTTGTATCTGTATTTGTTGTGGGGGGGAAAGTATTTGTATTCGAAATAGGCGTAAAAATCCAGTTTTTTTGCGTTACACTTCTAATTTACGTTATAGTGTAAGTATTCTTTAATTATATCTATTATAATAATTATAGATATGCAATAGACAGAGTAGACAGACTAACTTAAACGTACCATATAACTCCCACGAGTGCATACAATTCGACACAACTACACAAGCATTGTTTTAACCTTTTTAATTGAACGTTAACGCTACTCTGTCAACAGCCTATTCTCTAAATGACCGAGCTAACAGAGCTATGTAAACAGAGCGATATAAAGTTTTTCTTGTTCCCGAATACAAATTTTTTTTAAAGTATTTGTTCGAAATAAGTAAAACACGCTATCTGTGCCTTTCCGAATACCGTATTCGGGTTCGGCTCCACCCCTAATCCGGGCATGCACTGCGGTCTCAAGAGGAAACGCA